AAAAAATTGGAATTGAATCAGGATTTGTCACGTGTTTTCCGGTAAGCACCGAAAATAATTACAGACAAGTAAGGCCCCTATTTCCTCTTTCTTTACTCCTACTTTCATTCACTCAGCTGAAGAACACGAAAGTATCATCACAAGACCGACACACTTTTCCCTTAGCGATTCGCACTTCTCATGCATTACTCTGAGTCACACATACACCAGCTGCCAGTGGAACTTTTACAGCACATATTTTCACTCATCGTCAATGACATTTCAGACTGTCCTAGTATTTTCAAATTGAGCAATCGCCGTATCTCTGGGAATTTTTCCAGCCCTCCCCTAGTCTTCACCCGGGTGTGCCGCCTTTGGCGAGTCACAGCACACTCAACACCGGACCTTTGGTCCCGCATCCAGGTTACGCTTCCCGGTGGAGACGAATCATTGGAGCCATTTCTTCCATGTCTGCTTCAATATTGGCTCGCCTGTTCTGGTGGTCAGCCTCTCACCCTTCGCATCAATCGGGTCACTTTAGTCTGGGATTTCTTCATATTTAATGCCAGTTGCGGATCCGTACAAAGTTACAGGTCACTTTCACACGCAGATCATCGACTTCTCGAGATTCTTCAAGCCGAGAGCAGGCGGTGGGAAACGGTTGTTGGTGTGTTACTCGGAGACGAATGGCTCAATTCCAAGTTAGATACGCCACGACTGGGAACTCTGGAATGTAGCTGGTCAGGTCTTGACAGATTCAATGCACCAAATCTCCGTCAGCTACGCATCCCCAAGGGCATCGAGGACATTGCTACCAGCCGTATTCTTACTTGCAAAAATTTACGACATCTTCGTGTCCAATACACTTCCTCCCAGATCATCCGTTTTATTTCCGTCATTTTCCCTCTTCTGCAGACAATTGCGGTGGCGGTCGTAACTGGTGATCATGATAACGCTACAAGCCACTCGGTCACGTATTCTTGTCTCGAATCATTAACTCTGCCCCTGCCCTCGGATGATGATGATTCGGACTGGCTTACCGAAGTATTCGGCGGCCTTCATCTTCCTGTATTGCGGAAATTAAATCTGGTGGGATACCCATGCAAATTGAAGATTGATCGCACTATGGCTGCGTTGGCAGTCATCGCAACTTGCAAATTGGAAGTGATAGACTTTCAGACGATCGCGCTGCAGGAAGAAATCAATGTGGATGTTGTTGAGCCGATGCTCTCAGTTGCGAAGGAGATTTCGGTCGGATCGGTGTTATTCCGATGTCGCTCCCCGCGCAATTAGCCAACAGACCATACACGCCCTACTGTGTTGAAACATCTTGGGGATGGCAACAATCTTCTTGTGGGTGAGTGGTGGATTATTGTGCGTGCATAACGTAGTTCATGGCGAGTCTAGGATAAAAAGATACTCCAGTCCATCCAGGTTTTTGGCATGTATCGGTACAAGGACGCCCTTTCGGTTGGCTACAAGAAAAAAGGGCATTGACAACAGTTGGGGTAACTCTTACTATATATTACACCCCGAGAAATGCTCTAAGATCAATGGAGACTCCGGGAACACAGCGAATTTAGTTATTAGCTTTCCTTCTAGCTTCGTCGTCGTTCTATGCTTTGAACTCGCAGGTGTCAACCAGTATCAATTTGACAATCAATTGAAGTAAGGACAGTGCGGGATGACAAAGGAGAGACTAAGGTTAGGTGTCTAAACGAAGGCTATGGTATAGTGTTTGGGCAAAACCCTACAGGGTTTTCGACCGAAACATGCTTTGAACTCCCAGAAAGAAAAGGGGGCAAGAGAAGCTGAGATTCCCTATATTTAGGAGCGCAAACGACGCAGCTAGCGTTAGCTTGACCCCGAAAAGAAGGAGTTCCGCGAAGACTTACAAATCAAGACGGCAAAGCATATCGCATGAAAGGTTCTAAGATGGGGTGATCCTGCAGGTACGGCGCCAGAATCACCGCATGTTTCTGAAGGTAACGAACGAACGCGTCGCTATGCCAACGACCCATCACTTTGACAGTGTCAAAAGGGACTCCTCGCAGAAGATACTCGAGGGTCCCCCCAATGCGAATCCCATGTCCTTTCAAGTCTCCCCTCCCCAGGTGATCACTAGCCTGCTGTAGGCACTTCAGAAACGCGCTCCGTGTGAGAACCCTCAGTCCAGAGCGATGGCGCCAGCTGAACAGGGCATCGGAAGGGGAAGGATTGTTGATGGAAAAATGGTTGTGTAGAGCGGCCTCAGGATCAATCGGGCCCGTCTGGGCTGCCAAGTAAACATCCTCCCCGGTTGTAGAGGTCTTCGTGTGTGGTAGGTGAAAGACAATGACTTTGAGCCCGTTCCGGTCAACGTCAAAGCGAACATCAGCAACTTTAACGTTAGCTTCGGCATTGAAGCTCTTCAATGATGACACAGTGAATTCCCCGGTGCGCGCAATTGTGAAAAATGATGTCGTGAGGCACGCGAACACAGCTGCATGTAAAGGTGAGGATAAGTCGAGAATCGAGCGTATGGCTACAATCAAGTCAGTGGTGAAGGGAGCACATTTCGGACGGGTGGACTTGGCTGGAGCAAAATGTTTGGCACCTTCGAGTGTAAGAGACGCCTGCGCTTGGTCAACTAACCAAGGCTGTCCATGCAACAAATGCCATGCGCGTATCCCGTAGAAGTAAGTCTCGAGTGTGGAGCTCGAGTACAGTCCAGCACAACTGGCCAAGAAGGCCAGAACGAGGACGGAGGATGCGGGGCACCTTTGATGTTCTGGCACATTACGAGAATCACAAAACACGTGAAACACTAGGATGCCGGAGCCATAGACTTCACGAGTGTTCGGCGTGTGCGAGTGAGCGATGACAACTAGTATGCGATCGATGTCACTGTCAGACAGTGACACTAGCGATCCTGCCTGGTCGAGACATGAGCGCGACACTGCAGGTATCCAAAGGCGCAGACGGTCACGTGCCAAGCAATGGGGACGCAGAGGGGAGGGTCGAGGGGTCAATGTAGGAAGATAAGGTCGCGGTTGGGCAGGGGTGTGTGGCAGTTCCAGTGGTGCCAGCGTATGAAAACGAGAGACATCAGTCTCTCCAGCTCTCGTGGTACTGGAGGAGTTCCTCTCCCCAGCTTCTGGCAGGTGCCTCGTCAGCCAACTCATCAGTAGCTGTGGGGCAGGAGTCCGAACCTGTCAGTGGATGACGCTGCTCCCGGTATTTGCATCGACGAGGAGTTTGGGGAGGTCACCAGGTAGGGCGATGGGTGGTAGGAGGAGACGACGAGGGGGGTAGACCCCCCGAGAAGGTTTGTCGGCGGGGTTGTGGCAACTGGGTACATATTGGAGGTGGAAGGAGAACTCCTCACCCAAGGACTCGAGACGGTCGAAGATGCGCTGGAAGACGACATTGGTGGCCCAATTCCGGCTCCGGCCATTCCTCCAGCCTTCGACGACTCCTTGATTGTCACAGAAGATGCGGAAGTGCCGAGGGGAAGAGGCCGTGCGGCTGTTGAGGATTGTGATGACCAGCAGCTCGAAGCCAACACATTCGGCCCACCCGATGTCGCGCTGCCCGTCCAGGGTGCGCCATCCAGGCTGGAAAGACCAAGCCCGCCAATGCCCATTGACAACAATTGCGATGCCGACGGATGTACTCGCGTCACAAAAGCCGTGGACGTCGACGGGTGACTGTGGCTGGGGGATGGGTCTGCCGATGAAGGGACGAGAGAGTCGGTCTGTCCACCAATTGAGGTCCTCGTCCAGGTGCTTAACAGGAGTGATGTGGCACGAAAGGACGAGAACCGCAGACTTTGAGCATGGCCTCCAGTCTGGTGAGGCGAGCACGTCCTGATGGCACGACCAGACAGGCATGAAGTAATTTGCCGTACAGTTTCTGGACATCGAGTAAAACATGGGTCGATGTGGAACGCCAAGCCGTGATTGCATCTTGATATTTCGCCGCCTTCGCTGGGGAGAGTTGGACGGTGAGTAGAGCGATGTTCCACAGGAGCCCCAGGTAGAGGGCAACATAGGCGAAGGCCATGTCCTTGGACGGCTCCCAGGGTATCCCCAGAGGCCGGGATGCACAGTCGATGTCGACGAAGGCAAATGCAAACTCAGAGTCGAGGGCAGAGCGTATGGAAGAAGATGAGAGATCACGGATAGGGAAGGTGTGGTCTTCAGCGTAAACGTCAAACGAGTCATCAGCGTATGAAACTCCTTTGTACCAAATCCGCCCTCCGGTCTGTTGCTGTCCTCCACACTCCAGAACTCGCCGTACCGACGCACGATGAGAGTTGTACTGCTCCACATACTCTCGGCGGACGCGAAAGAACAAATGGTCATCCACCCACTTCGTGACCGGTCCAATGCCTCCAGCTCGTAAGAGGTCGACCCCGGCATCCGCCACTTGACCATAAACACCAGCAGAAGGTCCCATGCCAAAAGAAACGCAAGTGTCAACGCAAAAGGTATCATTAGGTAATCGTACAACTGCCGCAGGCCATTGGGATGGGTGGAGGGGAACAGTGCGGTATGCTTCAGCCACGTCGTGTGTGGCAGCCTGAGAACCCGGAGGTAACGAACGTATAAGGGTACATACTGTCTCAAAAGTTCCCCATGTGCAAGCAAAATCATCAGAGTTGACAAGGGAGTTGATGGAAGGGCCTGGGATATACAGAAGAAGGAATAAGTGGGAAAGAGAAATTCTGTATAACACGAAACTTGCCCGGTTTCTCGGGCTTGGGTATAATGGATATTGGCGAGGACTGGAAAGGACCAAGTAGAGAAAGTAATTCATTGTACGACAAAGGACCAAGATAACGACCGGTGGCGAGTTCGCGTTCGAGTATTTTATCAAATGCTTCACGAAATAAAAGAAGGGAGGAGCTATTACTAGGAGACTGAGGAACAACAATGGTAGGAATACTAAGGTCGAAACCGAATCGTAGACTGTGCGGTAAAGAGATGTATTTAACAAGAAGATCATGTTCGCGGAGTTTCTGTTCCCAAACGGCGAAGTCATATGGTGTGCGAGGACGCTGTCGTCTGAGCGTGAGGGCAGAGCTGGGCACCGTGTGAGGTGGAGAGACATCCTGAACATACGTGGCGTTCGCCGTGGGAGTGGCTGGAGCAGCCTCGAGCGCGTTGCCAGTCCACGCACAGAGGTTTGTCCGAGCTCCGCAAGAGGAGTTGTTTGTTGACGCGGGTAGCGACTGCGGGGAAGGAACTGTCCCAGAGACGTACGGCAGTGCATTCGATGAAATTGTGGGAGGTGCGCCCCAGGCAGACTGCGCACACAGCCGGGGAACGTGGGCTGTGTGCGCTGTCCTGAAAACCCGGACGGTGGCCCGACGAGCGGGAGTCTCGAGGCTGGTGGAATTTCCTAGACCTCCGAGGGGAAGATGAGCGCTGTCTATCACACGGTGAGGGAGAGCGTCTCGAACGACGAGAACGATGGTGGGAGGGGGCGTCTCCATGGCTGCTGTGATGGTTCACAAGCTAGGTGTGTGACAGTGTAGGGGTGACATCGAGGACAACACTGCAACAGACGCAAATGCAAATGCCGCAAACGCGAAACGCAAATGCAACAAAGCCAGTGCCAGGGAGCCAATTAAGACAAACGTGAACAGCAACAACACATAAACGCAACCGCAGGGTGAACACGGGCGTGTGGGAAGACAAGCGACATGGTTGATGGCGTATGACATGTGTGGTGACGACGCAAGTGAAGGTGGGAAAGAGGAATAGCGATCAGTTTGTGACAGTACAAGAAACAGAAAAGTGCGTACCTGACGTTGTTCGTCAAGATCACGATGACGCATGTCACGGAAAACGCGATCGAATGTACGAAGTAAGGCGTCTTCGTCGAGAATCGAGATGTCCCAAGCACCTTTGGGCAAAGGTATGGCATTGTGCCACGCCCTACGTTGTTCTTCCTGGTAAATCATGATGGCGCGCTGGGCAATGCGATCCATAGAGTTCCAGTATCTATGCAACATGAGAGCTCCCCAGAAACGCGCCAACATTTGGACACGCTGCACTGGCCAATCGTAATCTTCCAGCGCAGCTATCATACGCAGAACGGCTTGGGCAAATTCCACTGGGGAAAGATCGCGGTCAGCAATGACCCGGGAAGAAGGTTTGGCGACCGCTGCGTTGACCCAGACGGTGGAACCATCGTCTGCTGCGGTGGGAATCATGCCCTCATCATCCCGTGTGCGATAGTTGGAGTGCGCATCTTGAAGACCTACATTAGTCCAGTAATACAACTCAACAAAATGCCCTTTGTCGATCTTCCGCAGTGCGAAGTCGGATACGAGGACTTCATCGTCGGTGGAGTCAGGGCGGCGGCGAACAGGAATAGGTATATGCTTAATTCGGTTCTTCTTTCTCTCGTCAGCCGTGGTGGCTTCTTCTTCGAGGCGAAGAGCCAGACGTTGGCGCTCGGACTCTTCTTCGGCTAGACGTTGTTCTTCGGCACGAAGGCGTTCGTCTTCAGTGACCTGTTGTCGCCACTGTGCGCACAGGGAGTTGTTGGTGGTGATCCAGACCGCGCGAAGAAGATCAGCAGCTTGAGCATCGGTGGTAGTAGGAGATACTAGACTGGCGCGGCTAGCCTGATACGGATCGCCTGAGAAATCAGGGCAGACTAGCAGACTGGGGTCGGAATGAAGTCTGTTCATGAGGAAAATACGAGGGGTAGAAAAGTAAACAGTTTTTTTATTGGACAAATCAGATGTTAAAGGTGATTATTTCGAATGTTGAACACTAGCAGAGGTGTAAGATGATGGCAAGAGGGAAGAAGGCATGTCTCAGTGCCTGACTCGTGATGGCATAGACTTCGTTCGTATCACGTGCTCGTGCCTCGCACTGGCTAGAACACAATTATTAGCAACTCGGGAGCGCCACAGATGCGCTTTATAGCTTTCCAAGGAGTTCCTGGTGATACTTCTTGACTTCTTCCATGACGTCAGACTTCGCGGGCCATCCGATAACGAGCCCCTCCTCGTCTGACGCATCAGGTTTGGGAATAACATGGAAGTGTACGTGGTCGACGACCTAGACGTGTAAACCAGTGTCAGTCGATACTGTCTAAGCCCAATAAAGAAGGCGTAGACAAACCTGGTGTGCGATGCGGCCGTTATTCTTAGTGGTGGGGTCAGCTCTGCAGGTTAAACGGCAGGGTATGGGGAGAGGGGACGATAATTGTATATGGGAACGCACCTGGAGGATGTTGTAGTTTTCAAGCCCTTGTGCAGCGGCGATCTTCTTCGCGATGGGCAGCACGTCCGTAAGGTATTCATCTGGGAGCTCGTGAAGCTTTGCCGCGTGGTCTATTATGCACATTAGCGCCTTCACTCGTGAAATAATCCTTTCCGATCACGGCTGACGCACCTTTAGGGATGATCAGAGCATGACCCTTGGAGAGGGGGCCAATATCAAGGAATGAGTAACTGATCTTTGGTAAATAGGTGCCAATGATTTGACGAAAGAAAAAGGACGAACGAAGTTTCTGTCTCGAGGAGCTTGAAGCTTGGGATCTCGCCTAGAACACAATAGCGCCGTGATAAGGTGGTGTAGTTGAATGAGTCAGAATGACGAGAAGAAGTCAACACACCCTTGATGATCTTGCAAAATATGCAGGTGCTGAGTGATCTAGAGGATGTTTGTTACACTCCAAAAGTATAATGGAAGGGAAGAATCTGACCGTGCTGCTGCCGCCATAGTGGTTTGAGTTGAGGCAAATAGCGAAGGCTCTGTTACGGATGCCAGGTGGCGTGACGCGCCTTGATCTCACACGTGACCAGGCTGACAAAGTACGCGTCTTTCGGGAATCGGCTTGGTTAATTCTCCTGTTCGCTTCACAACTTCTACTAGTACAGGCTGCGCAATTCAAGCACCCATAGCATCGTGGTCCCGCAAACCTGCATCCTTGCGTTTCTCTATTCGCTCAATGCAGTTCTGTGATTGTGATAATCTATTTTTTCTCCCAACACTTTTATTGAACGTCTGTCTACTTTGCGACCTTGGTTCTTAACATCCCACACGAGCTTTTCTTCTGCTTCGTATCCCTACTGGCTAACTCGTAATCTCAGTACCCTGATCACATTTTCCGAGTCTTCGTCTAATCACTAATTTCATATCTCTTTCAGATCCACATGCCCATACTCATAGAAACGTGTCGAGGCAGACTATTCAATCTCTACACGTTTACCGTTCGTCGGCGCACGTGTTTGAGAGAGAGCAATGGGAGGCACTGGAAAAGTGTCTTGGTGCGTGGAAGGCGGGCCTAGCGAGCGTGCTGGGGGTTGTTACTAGTGCACAAAAGCGCGGTAATGGTTCCGCTGTAGGTGAACTCGTGCAGCAGGTCACGCAGACAGGTGGGAGCGCTCAGGTCGATGCCGTGTAGCCTACATCGGGGCTCTTCCGTTCAATGAATCAAGGTCATGGTTGTTGGCTGCAATTTGTGGGAACACTGGGGAAGTTCGTTGTCGTTCATTTGAACATGACTTCGGTTTTGATATCGGACGTCCAAAACTCTCTGCTTGTTAAGATGAGAAGACACTATCAACGCCCGGGGATGTTCATTATAGCAATGTTGCGCAGCCAACATCAAGCGACTCATGTATACATATATCCCTGCTCCCGTTGGCAGTCATGCAACCACTTGACACTACTGGGCCGGCTGGTGGTGATTTGCTTGGGAGTGCTGCTACGTACTATGCAGCGCAGTTCCTGTCAGTCATGCAATCACTTGTCACTGATAGTGCTTTGCTTGGGAGTGCTGCTACGGGCTATGCACAGCGTACAGGTTCGATATGTGTATGTACCTGCTTAAGCAAATTCCACTTGCTGACGATACGGTATATGACAGACTAATGTACATCCAACTGTTGCCTCAAAATTTGAACCGGATCAAGGTAAGTACTTGATCCGGTGGTAACACAGCCATTGACATGCGGTGTCAGCGGCCCGCAAGGCGCCTGCAACTACAGCGTGCAAAGCTCACCCAAATAGCAGGCCTCTTCATCACTTTCGCCCCATATCTCTCCTTCCTCTCAATTGCTGACTTTGCACATTATTTCATTGTTCAGTGTCTGTACAACGCAACATCCTTGTCATGCCACAGGAAGAAGCTGAGTCAAGCATGTCAACGAGATGAGGAGAAGCGCCATTGCACTCATCGACATATCGGACGAGTGCGAAATATCTACCACCATATGGTGCACAGGACCGCCAGGATGCACTTTGGGAAGGTGAGCAGCTACCTTGTGATACCTACCCGCTGACTCAAATTGGAATCAGGCGGGAATGAAGCGCTTCCTCCTGCGTGGCAACAGTTTAAGACGTCGTCGGATGGTGAAACACTATATCAAGATGACACGCTCGTGATATTCTCGAGGAACCGACCTTTACCAGGAGTGCAACTAGGTGAGGGATCAAATTGCGACAAGGAGCGACGAACTCACGTTGAACATAGATAATCCTGGAGATCTTGCCGTTCTTGGATGGGAATGGCACATCTCGCCACTTGGTCAGTCCTACTTTGTCAACCACAATACTCGGACCACGTCGTGGAAGAAACCAAAGCCAGAACGTCCGGCAGGAAGCTTGATGCCAGAGTGCATCATCGAGGGTCACTCTCAATGCATGTGGAACCTTGCCTGCTTGAGTAACAGTGGCAATATAATGAGCGCGTTTGACGATAGTTCGATTCGTCAGTGGAAAAGATATGGAAAGCCTGTGGGAAAACCTTTGAATAGTGATGGGGGAGGGATAGGTCCAATGGCAGTATCCCCAGATGAAACAATGGTCATTTGTGGAAGCGCAGATGGCAGACTTCAGTCGTGGAATATAAAGGAGGGCAGCATGATCGGCGACCCATGGGAGGATGATTCAGTGCACGTGAGGTGCCTTGATTGGTATCGCAATTCCCTGGAGATAGCAAGTGGATCACATGATGGCACCATACGACGTTGGAATCCAAATACTGGTCGACAAATGGCACCGCCCATAGAG